GCTGTTGCTTAATGGATGTGCAAAGCATGGACAAAGATTTACATAAAGGGGTCCTTTGATCCTAGGGTATGCAAGAATTTTTGAAACATTAGACTGTGGCTTGTGCAATCCAGATTAGAGAAGTCAATTCCAGGATGCTAGTGTTATGGTTTTGCCTCATATTGATTGTTCATATCATAATCTATTGTTGGTGTCCTTAATTGAAAATGAGATTTGGTGGAGGGGAAGACCTTTCAGGTTTAGGATGGCATGGTTACTTTATGAAGATTTTGATGGCTTTGTTAGAAGGAATTGGGTAAAAGGGGGGATTCTTGTAATGGTTTGATGATTTTGATGAAGAATTTACAAAAGTGGAATAAGGATGTCTTCAGAAATATTGAAGGTAAGAGGAAAAGTTTGTTGCATAGATTAGATGAGGTGCAAAGAAAGATTAGTAGTTTAGTTAGACCTTATCAATATTTGTTTAATCTTGAAAGGAAATTACAAGATGACCTCTTAAAGGTTTTAAAGCAAGAAGAAGTGTTATGGTTTCAGAAATCTCAGGCATAGTAGATTATGGATGGGGATTGCAATACGAGGTATTATCATTTGAAAGCCATTAGAGGAAGAAGAAGGAATAGAGTTAAAATGTTGAGAAGGGATGATGGTCAACGGGTTAAGGATCAGGAGGAATTGTGCAGAATGGCTTTAGACTTTTAGAAAAGGCTTTTTTTAGAAGAGGAGGAGCATAACAAAATTGTTGTCACTTTGATGACTTTTGAAGGAATTTTTGAACAAAAGAGGATTTTTTTTTATAGACCTATTTCTAATAATGAGATTAAGAGAGCCATATTTTCTATTGGTGTATGGAAAGTGCTTGGCAGTGATGGTTTTCTTGCACTTTTTTTTATCATAGATTCTAAAATGAAGTTGGTGAGGTGTATGTAAGGTGGTTAAGAATATTATGAAGGTGTTGATGACATGAGCAGAATCAATGGTACTCTCTTAACGTTAATTCCAAAGGTTGATAAACCTAAGAGTATAAGACAAATGAGACTTATTAGTTTATGTAATGTCATTTATAAGTGCATTCCCAAGTTGATTGTTAGCAGGTTAAAGCATTTGTTATCGAATTTGATATCTCCTAATCAGGTGAGTTTTATGCCTGGTTGTCATATTCAGGAAAATCTGTTTGCTGCCTATGAAATTTTGCATAGTATCAAAAGATTAAGGAGTAAAAAAGGTTGGTTTGTGATTAAGATAGATTTGAAAAAGGCCTATGATAGGGTCAAATGGTCATGTATTGAGAAAGTTTTGAAGGAGGTTGGTTTTGGTGAGACTTGTTGAGGTTATTATGAGGTGCATATGTTCTATCTCAACTAGTGTATTATGGAATAGGTGTTGTTCTGATTTCTTTTCCCCTTCTAGAGGGATTAGGCAAGGTGATCCACTTTTACCTTATCTATTTGTTTTGGTTATGAAAAAGTTGGGGCATAGAATTAATGATGCTAGAGTTTGTGGCGAATGGAATGCTTTTAAATTTGGCAAAAATGGTCTTGAAGTATCTCATTTAATGTTTGCTGATGATTTGTTGTTATTTGGTGAAGCTTTGTTCTCTCAAGTGAAATGTGTTTTAAAATGTTTACAGGATTTTTGTTGTATGTCTAGACAACAGGTTAATTTTGAGAAAACAAGTATTTTATTCTTGATAATACGAGTAGTAGGATTAGAGAGGAGTTGGTGGAGATGTTTGGTGTTCAAGTAGTGGAGGAGTTTGATAGATACTTAGGATTGCCTCTTAATTATGGGTGTTCTAAGAAAAGAAGATTTGATTATGAGCTAGAGAAAGTAAAGAAGAGATTATTAGGTTGGAAAGCTAAGTGTTTAAGCATGGCAGGGAGAATTACCTTGGCAAAGTCTGTTATTCGTTCAATTCCAATATACCCAATGATAGTGGCTTAACTTCTAATGGCTTCTTGTGACAAGATTGAAAGGATTTAACGTGCTTTTATCTGGGGTCATAACATAGATGAGAGAGATGTATTTGATTAATTGGAAATACATGTAATAACTAAAGAAAGTTGGGGATTTAGGTTTGTTAAACTTACGTGTTATGAATATGCTTGTCTTCTAAAAAAGGTTGGTGCCGTACGTTAAGGTTTGATTCTAGTGATTTATGGGTGGAAAGTATAATGATGGTAGTAGTTTTAAGGATGATGTAGTTGTTAAGAGGGTGGATTTGATTTTATAAAAAGACTTGGCTGCCATTTGGCATCTTATGCAAGGCAAATGGATTCGTGATGTTAAAGGGGGTGGTGAGACGGACTTCTAGCATGATGAATGGCTAGGTGGTAGGTGTATTATACAAGAGGAGGCTATGTATGAGATTCCTATTGATATGCAGAATTGGAAGGTTAAGGATGCTGTTGACAAAAATGGACGGTAGAGGTGGGATAAAATTGAGGGTGTAATTTTAAATGAAGCTTTAATGAGGATTAACTCCTTTTTACCTCCTGATCTTGATGAAGGTAAGGATGGATGGAGATGGAAAGGGGGTGCTGGGGGAGTGTATACTGTTAAGGAGGGATATTGGTGTTTGATGAAGAATAGTTGGGCTTAACAGGACTGCTTGTGGTTACTTATTTGGAAATGGCCAGGAGTTGAAAGAATCAAAGTTTTTTTAAGGATGGTGGGTCATAATAGGCTACACACAAATAGTATTTAAACTCAGAGATGGGGTGCTTCTGATGGATGTGTAATATGTCAGGAAAGTGAATATGTACTCCATATGTTTGTATTGTGGCTTGAGAAATTTGGCAAGGATTGCTTAGGAGGATGATTGAAATGACTTCTTTTATGCAGACTTGAGATCTTGGCTTTTGGTTAATTTAGAGAAATGTACCAAACAGTGTAAAGGTTCTCCATGGTGTTTGATTTTTGGCACTGCTTGCTGGTTTTTTATGGAAAGGAAGAAATAGGAAGATTTTTGGAAGGCCAGAGGTGAGGGATTCTTCATTTCTTACGAGGAGAATCTTAAGTTTTATTGCAAAAAGGGTTAGAGCTAGAAATGGGTTTTTGGAAGGGATTGGTGGTAGGACAAGGGGGTTAGTGAGATGAAAGCCTCCTTGTGAGGGGTGGGTAAAGCTTAATACGGATGGAGCTTATAGATCTATGAGGTTTCATGCTAGTTGTGGAGGAGTTGTGAGGGATGAAGTTGGTAACTAGATTTTTGGCTTTAGTCATAATATAGGATTCGGTAGTACTTTTGAGGCTAAATCTTGGGGTGTGCTTGTTAGTTTAGATTGTTGTAGAAGGCTCAGTTTTCATCAAGTAATGTTGGAGCTAGATTCTTTGGCTCTGGTTCAAAGGTTGGAGAGACTGGAAGAAGACAAGGTTGAAGATCTATTTTTTCAAAAAATCTGTAGGTTAAAGAAGGATGTTAGGGATGTCAAATTGTCTTTTTCTCCATATGAAGGGAACTAGCTGGCGGATGGTCTTGCAAATTAGAGTTTTGAGTTGCCTAGGGGGACCACTTGTTGGCATCAGGTCCTAAAAAGAGTTAGTTTAATTTTTTTGGCAAAAAATGTGGTTTTCTATTTGAGAGAGGCTAATTTTTGGTGTTTGCTAGTTAGGTTGAGGCCTTTTGTTTTTCTGTTTTTTTTTTTTTTCTTAGGCTTTGGCCCTTTCTTTTACCAAAAAACAAAAAAATCAAGGCTCTCTCTCAGTTGCATTCCATGGCTTCTAATATTCTCTCTATGATTTCCACACTGATCTTAACCAAAAGATCAATCATCCTCAAAATTTAGTAGACTCATTCATTTTACCACATACTCACACGCATCCGCCTTTTATTTGTTGATCAAAAAAGAGAATTTTATTAATCAATCAAAAATATCATGCACACACCCATTTAAATTCCTTGAAATTGCTCTAAAAAGTGGTGGCAGTGGAAAGGTGAGACTTCTTGTCTGGGACCCATATTATCAGAAGTGACGTCACCTTTTTGTATGTCTTATTTCACTTAGTCATTCTCGAGCCACCATCTAAATTCAGGTCAAATTAATGATTTGTATTGAGTTCTAATTGGGGATGGTATTGGGTTCAAGCCTTCTTCTTTGATACAACGAAGGTTGTTAGGCCCGACACACAGCACAACACTGTCTTCATATTCGAGCTGATGGCTAAGGGAGGAAAACAAGTGTAGATGTGCTGAAGGCAGATTCCTATGAAAAATTTATTTAAAAAAAATTACATGAAAAAATCTCATACAAAAAAATTAATTACTATAAAATTTATTAACAATAAAAATAAGATTCATTAACAACTAAACTAACGTCATCTATGTTGTCAATGACCTTAATTCAGTTGATAATAAATCTTATAGGAATTGATTCCTTTGTGTGAGACCTCTATGTGATTTTCCTATTTCTTTAAATAAATTTACAACTATAATTGTAACAATTTGACACATGTATTGAAGGCTTAATAGTTACAACTAGAATTCATCTCCGTGCATGGTTATCAAGATGGTATGTTTATGATAATGAATTATATGAATTATATTGTACGTTGATCGTGAATAAAATTAGGAATATGTCATGTATGCGATGTCCACATCTAATATGGAGGTGCGTTATGGGCCTCCACAATCTGATACACTTGGGTTGAGAGCAAGGCCAGACCAACATGCTAAATTAGAGAAGGTTACTCATCGAAGCACTCGCCAAAGGAAGCCCACGTGGAAGCTTCGTGAGATAGAGGGTATTTAAGTTACGAATGGCAGTATCTCCTTTTCTGTACCTTCTGACAATTCCGTTATTTCCTTTCTTTCGTGCTTGCATTAATAATTGAGACTGAGATGTTTATGCTATCAATATAATATGATTCTCTTATTTGCTGTGTGTAACTATAACATTTTAGTGCTTTCATTCAGAGCAGAATTCAATGGCCAACAACACCAAAATGAAAGAGTTGCAAGCTAAGATGAAAAAGATGCACGAGTGGATGGATGTGGCAACCAACTGATTTTCTAAAATCGAAGGATTGCTGGAATCTTTAATGAAGTCCATGGAGAGCCTTAATCGCCGATCAGAATCCTTAAATTTTGGGCTCGATTTAGGTTCACCCACAGGTCAAAACTCAGTTGAACAACAACAACAAGTATATCAAGTTATCCCTACCAAGCAAGTGAAGGTAGATTTTCCTAGGTTTGATGGAATAGAGCCATTAGATTGGCTATTCAGAGATGAACAATATTTTAAGTTTTACGAGACGACCGATGCACAGAAGTTAGTCATGGCCGGAATACATATGTTGGGACCAATAGTCCTATGGTTTCAGATGATGCTAAAATTGAATCAGTTTGTGGATTAGAATTCATTCACTAGAGCAATTGAAGAGCATTTTGGCTCGACTCGTTATGAGTGTGCACGAGTGCAATTATTCAAGCTCGTACAGAATGATTCATTTGAAGACTATCTGTTCCGACTACATGATAGAAGGTGCATTGATTGATTGCTTCATAGGTGGGTTGAAATCAGATTTATGTCGTGATGTCGTTGCTCAAGCACCAACCACGTTACTGAAGGCGGTGGTGTTAGGATGAATATATTCTAGACGTGACGCACTGGGGACCACTTCATCACATCTGCAGACTACCTTCTCACCATCACCAATGGGAGGTGGGAAACCATTAGCAAATATGCCTGCGTCATCATTAAAAGGACTGTCAATCGGAACTAATAGCAAACCGACAACACCACCATTGCTTCCAATGCCTAATAGACCTTCGATTCGAAGGATCATACCTGCTGAAATGCAAATTTGAAGAGAGAAAGGTCTTTGCTAGTTCTGCGATGAGAAATTTTCTCCATCTCATTATTGTGGGAAGAAACAATTAATGATGTTGACTGCAGACCACGGTACCGAAGATGAACAAGAAGTGACTGAAGGTTCAGTTGAGGAGATTAGTACATTGCATCACCTATCTCTCTGTGCATTCCGAGGCTCTTCAGGCATAGCCACAATTCAGTGTAACAGGTCGATTTATGGAACTGACATGCAAGTGCTGTTAGATGGAGGAAGCTTTGATAATTATGTTCATCCTCGAATTGTTCAGCACTTACAACTTCCTCAGGAGTCGATACGACCGTTTCAGGTATTTGGTGGGAACGAGTTAATTGATAAAGTGTGATTTAGCCATAGCAAAGTTACCTGTATAGATTAGTGGTCACATTATTGCATTCCCAGCATTTATTTTACCGGTCACTGGAGCTGATGCCGTGATTAGAGCTTCTTGGTTGGAGACACTAAGACCACATGTTGCGGACTACAATGCTTCAACGATTCGGTTCCTACAGAATGGCAACTTTATTACCCTCAATGGTTTCAAATAAGCTCCTATAGCCCAAGCTCACTTACACCAGTTAATTTGGATTTATAACACTGATGCCATTACTGAGTTGTTTGTGCCCCAAGGATAGGTGAAACAGGGTATACTAGACGAAGAGGTACCATTACAGCTACCAACAGAGTTACCTAAGGATCTCATTGCTGTTTTACGATGACACTGTGAGGTGTTCATGAAGCCGGGACTACCACCTCCTTAAGACTATGTTCACAGGATTAATCTACAGAAGGGAGAAGGACCAGTCAAGGTCAAACCATACCAATACCCCTTCAACCAAAAGGCAGAGATAAAGAAGTTGGTGTGTAAACTTTTGGAGGAGGGATACATACAACCCAATAGTAGCCCTTTTTCTGCGCCTGTTATCTTGGTGAAGGAGAAGGACGGGTCTTAGCGCTTTTGTGTTGATTACAGAGCCCTTAATGCTGTGACCATTAAAGATGCCTTTCCTATGCCGACTGTAGATGATCTTTTGGATGAGCTGCATGGCTTTTTTTTGTATTCCAAGCTAGACCTTAGGGCAGGCTACTACCAAATATTAATGGAACCAGATGATCGAGCTAAGACTGCATTCTGCACACACCAAGGGTTGTATGAGTGGACAGTGATGCCGTGTGGCCTCACGAACGCCCCCGCTACCTTTCAGGCACTTATGAATTTTGTTTTTCAACCCTATTTGCACAAATTTGTGTTGATTTTCTTTAATGATATTCTTGTATATAGTTCCTCTTGGGAGCAACACTTGTAACATCTAGAGCTAGTCTTGCAGACCCTTCAACAACTGCGGTTGCATGCGAAACTCATGAAATGCTCTTTCAGACAGAAGAAGGTCAAATATCTGGGACACTTTGTTTCCCAAGGGGGGTTAAAGTTGTCACGTCCAAAAATTTTAACATAACTGACATGAAATATACAAATTCACATCCCTAAAGCTTCAATTAAGAAAAGTTTTAAATTAATATATCAAATTTTACTCTTCACATAAATCAAAACATCAAACTTTCTATAAAATTTCTACAACATCTCCCCTAAAGGTAGAATCCATCGAAGATATCTTCAACAGAAAATTTACAACATATATCCAATAATATAAAACTTTGCTTCTCAGCGGCAAATAATTAACATAACAAAAAGAGGCAGGACCCTAATTATAGTTAATGTGGAGCTCTCTAAATCGGACTTCCAAAAGATACTATATAGGTTTCCAAATTTTTATATGAATAAGATGATATTTTCAAAAATAATCTTCTAATCAATTCAACACTGAGCCCATTAGAGATCAGCAAGGAGTGCGAAATTAGCTTTGGTATTTGAGACCAAATAAAATATTTTTCAGTGAATAACGTCCCAACAATAAATAATTAAACATGATTAAAAATGAAAGTTTGAAATAATTAAGTCAAATAGACAACAATTTTTATAAAAATTTAATAAACTTCAAAATAAAGTGACTCCATAAATTTTTTTTTATAAAATCTTAAACCATTAAAATATCATAACAAATGTTTTTATCACTTGATTTCTAAAAAGCATATAAATGAAATAAATGGTTGTAAATAATTTACTAGATAAAAACCAATGAAATATAAAATCATCAAATAGTCAAATTCACAAATTTTTTTAAGGACTTATTAGAACGATAAACAAACATGGACACACAGTCTACGAAGGTAAATAACGGAACACGGCTTATGCCACGAATACAAACGCAGACACACAATCCACGAGGGTAAGTAACCAAATGCAATCGGAGCCACGAAACAAACGTGGACACACAATCCACGAGGGTAAGTAACCAAACGCAGCCGAAGCCACGAAACAAACATGAGTACTATGCTCACGAATAACCATCCCTCCGTTCCACGTGCGTTGGCCATCGCATGGGGCTAGCACCTCCTATAAACACCCTGCTAGCTAGGTGTACCATGGCGCGCCAAGGGTTAACGGAACTGCCATTAGCAACCAGTGTTCTATATAAAGTCCCTTTTTAAAACCATTTTCAAACATGTGAGAAAATCATCACTTTTAAGATACCGTTCTCATTCTCAAAATTAAATTCGCATGAATACATTTTAAGCACTGAAACTTGTCATAATAAAATTTCATATTCAATGCTCATGCTTGCATTTATTGAATAATCAACAATTGCCAATGCTATGATGAATTGTTTTTCATAGCAATTCAATAATTTCAAGAATGAAAATCTCATAATTAAAATCCAAACTTGTATTTACTCATAAAATAAAATTATCAAATCTGGTAAAGATAAATTCACAAAAATAAAATACTTTAATCAACAAAATATCCAATAATCACATTATTGCTGTAAAAAGGATTTGTATAAATATGTAATATTTCAGTGAAAAATTTTATTGAAATATCAGTTGGGACGTTATCCACTTACCTGTAGTGTTCCCAAGTGCAAATTCACACTTTAAAGTCAAATCTTCCTTCTTCTAAACAACCTATTCAATGTAGAAGATAATTAAATGATTTTTACTCAAATTCAATAAACTCTTTATACTAGCAACAACATCGTGATCACTTAAGTTTTCAACTAAATACGATTTATGCCTTAATTCCTACTTATCCTTAATCACACTAGAACTTCAAATCTCTTCTATCACCCATTTTTATCGAGGTATATTCCCAAAATCAAGTCTTCAAATAACATTATTATCAATCATGTAATTTTCAAAAATTCAATTTGTCTCACAGTAACTTCACGATAAAAATAATAATAATAAAAAAATTCTTTACAAAACTCAAGTTAAATCCATAGATAATTGATACCTAAACCAAATATGTCCTTATAAAAGTTAATGCAACTTCAAGAAGTTCATAACTAAATAAAACTCATTCTATTTGACACTTTTTCAAACATTTTGAAGGCATCACCGCTTAAACCATAATAACAAGTTCATTTCTCTCCAAAAATCTCTATTCCTAATTCCAACTTCCTTTCAAGCATTTTATCAAACATCTCATATGCACCCATATTTAAACAAATACCAAACCTCTTTTTCCTCGATACCTTGTCCCAAAAATTCTAAATATCAATATCTAAATTAATAAATCTTCCTAAATTTCATTCTTTCAATTGAATTAGAGATAAGCTCAAATATTATCCATATTCACACTACATCTAGCTTCAAAAATCTGAAACTTTCCAACTTGCCCAAACCTCTTCTCCTCTGTTCGAACATACACAGCAGCAAAGCAAGAGGAAATTAAAAAATCTGAAATTTAAACACGCACGCACAGCAACAGAACCAACAAGGAGAAGGAAGTTCGAAGCTCCTCACCTTCAATCAGTGGCAGCAGAAGCAAGAGGCAGTAGCTAGTTATATAACCATGGAAAAATGAAAGCCGATCACACATCCGTATGAACACTAGGACAAAAGAGGAAGGAAAAAGGCCAAGCACACACACACACACACACACACACACACACACACACTCTCTCACTCTCTCTCTCTCTCTCTCTCTCTCTCTCTCTGTGTGTGTGTCGCTGAAAAAGAATCAAGGAAGGGGAAGAGAAGGAAATCGACGAAACAGAGGAGGAAATAACTCACTCGCTAATGGCAGCACCTATAGAGACACACTGACAGAAAACGAACAAGAAGGACGTTTCCAACCGTCCACAGCTTCCAGCAACTCAACCCTTTACGCACACCGACGACGCAGATATAGCAAGAAAAACAAAACAGAGATAAGAAGAATCATGGAGAACCTGGGCATTTTTGCAAGGCAGTGCTGAGCATCCACGATCGCCGGTGACACGGGGAGGACATTGGAGAAGGAAGGACGAGGAAATAGAGATGGTAGAGGGTTTGATTCTGAGCTTCCCTATGTCTCTAGTGAGTTCGATCTGGAACAGAGGAGCAGAAGAGACAAAAGCCACGAGTCTGACGGACAGCAGCCGACGGAGCTGCAGTAAATGCCGGCGACGTGGATATACGGTAGACGAGCGAGTGAGCCATGACCCACAGCAGTGAGAGATAGGCGACGCAGGGTAGAGGAAAACAAAGGAAGAATGAACCGAATAGAAGAGAATCCAAGGATCCAACTCACTGTCACCGAAGAAAATGAATGGAGAGGAGAACGGTGGACAAACTAACGGTGATGGGAAGAAGAAAGTGTGACGGGAAAGAGGAGAAGAGCAATGAAGAAAAATCGCGATCCTTCCTCAATCTGCTCTATTCAGACCGCCGAATGAAAGAGAAAAAGGAAATGAAAATAATATATAAAGCCTATGGCAAAAATTACCATTAAAGACCCCATCAGATTATTATTATTATTATTATTATTATTATTATTATTATTATATTTTTATAATAATAGGCAAGGGCACATTCAGTAATTCTCCCATATAAAATAAAACTAACATATTTAATTTAAATAAAATTTAAACTCTAAACTTTCATATAAGTAATCAATATGGGTTCAATCAAGTTACTACATCCTCATTTGTCAAAAATTAAAATAATTAAATTAAATATTAATTGAAATAAAATTTGTTTAAGTTAAAATTTAAGATCATTATACTCTTATTAGACTAACATTTCTTCAGGATAAAATATTTTTTAAAATTAATACAAATACAATTAAAATTTATTATTATATATTTTAAATTTTTACTTAAAATTTCTGAGTTATTACAAAAGTAGACCAAGGAAAGGTACAAGTTGTGAGAGATTGGCTGGTGGCAACTACGGTGTCCCAGCTAAGGGTTTCCTTGGCTTAATAGGTTACTATCGATGATTTATACAGCAGTACGCACACATCGCGAGTCCCTCGACTCTGTTATTATAGAAAGATGGATTTGTGTGGAACCCTGAAGCTCATTGTGCATTTAATGCCTTAAAAGATACCCTAATGAATGCCCCTATTTTGGCATTACCCAACTTTTCAAAACCATTCATACTAGAAACAGATGCGTCGAGAACAGGGATAAGAGCTATATTGTGTCAAGATAGGCATCCCATTGCCTATTTTTCAAAAAAGATCTCTAACTGATAGCAAGCTCGGTTAGTTTACAATCGAGAGTTATATGCGATAGTAGAAGCGGTCTCAAAATTTTGACATTATCTGTTTGGCCATCAGTTTATAATACATACAGATCATGCCAGCTTGAAACACCTTACAAATCAATGTGTTCAGACACCAGAGCAAGAAACCTATTTACCAAAGCTCCTGGGTTACCAATTTACTATAAAATATAAACCTGGGTCCACCAACGCTGCAGCAGATGCTCTATCTTGTGTCTCATGCATGTCGTTGACTCAAGTACAATCAGTTTTCATGGAGGAAGTGTATCTACGAGTTCGATCTTCCCTAGTTATGTTTTGAAGCATGGGGATGTGTATTGGCGGAATCACTTTGTGCTTCCATACGATGATGATGACTTGATTCGTCGGGTTTTATATGAGTTTCATGATTCAATAGTTGGGGGTCATGCAGGCTTCCTTCGTATGTTCCAATGCATAGCATCCCTATTTTATCAGTTCAAAATGAGAAATGATATTCGTGACTACATGCAAAAATGTCACATTTGTCAGCAAGCTAAAGTTTCACAGCTACACCCAGCTGGCCTTCTTCAACCCCTCCTTATTCCAGTTCGTATATGGGAAGACATCTCTATGGATTTCGTCACTGGTCTACCATTGGTACATGGGTTCTCTGTCATTTTTGTCGTCGTGGATTGTTTGTCTAAATATGGCCATTTCATTCCCCTGTGTACTAATTACAATAGTCAAACGGTGGCCGATGCATTCCTTTATCATGTTGTGAAGTTACATAGGTTACCCAGGATAATAGTTTCAGACTGAGATAAAGCATTCACTAGTGCTTTCTGGCGTCATTTATCTCAATTGCAGGGGACTCAACTTAAGCTTAGCTCCTCATATCACCCACAAAGTGATGGACAAACAAAAGCTATGAATCACACTCTCGAGATGTATCTTAGATGCTATGTGTTTGATCACTCACGGCGTTGGTTGGAGTACCTACCATGGGCGGAATACTGGTATAACACAGCTTACCATAACTCACTAGGCATGTCACCTTTCAAGATCATTTATAGCCGCGACCCACCCCCAGTGCTTCATCACGCCTCATTGGAAGATACTCCTTTCAATGTACATGCTCAGTTATCCGAGATGAAGTTCTTGCTGATTTGCACGTTGCTCTATCGAAAGTGCAAGAACGAATGGAGCATTTCGCAGATCGGCATCGTTCAGAAGCTCAGTTTGCCATCGGTGATTTAGTCCATGTGAAGCTCTAACCATACCGCCAACATTCTATGCAACTCCGCAAGTTTCAGAAACTTGCCTTGTGTTACTTTGGTCCATTTCCTATTTTGGAGAAAATTGATTCTGTTGCTTATCGTCTTGGCCTTCCTCCGGAGGCTTACATATACCCAGTCTTCCATGTCTCGCTCTTAAAGCAGTGTTTTGGAGATGGTCATCGACCGATGCTTCCACTCCCTCTGTCTTCTGTACCAGAGGGTCCTCTCGCACAGCCTACTGATATCTTGGACATTCGGCAAAGTCAACGTGCTGATAAGCAGGTCACAGAAGTTTTGGTTTAGTAGGATTGCTCTAATTCTCCCACGTGGGAATTACTTAAGGATATAAAGTTGTTGTAACCCTATTTTGACCTTGAGGGCAAGGTCCGTTTTCATGGGGCGGGTATTGTCACGCATGTGACGTCCACATCTAATATGGAGGTGCGTTATGGGCCTCCACGATTTGATACACTTGGGCTAAGAGCAAGGCTAGACCAACATGCTGAATTGGAGAAGGTTTCTCATCGAAGCACTCGCCAGAGGAAGCCCACGTGGAAGCTTCTTGAGATAGAGGGTCTTTAAGTTGCGAATGGCAGTAAGAGAGGGGGTGATGAATGTGAATGAGCTTTTCCCTCTGATATTCTGTTTCTCCTTTTCTATACCTTATGACAATTCCATTATTTCCTTTCTTTCGTGCTTGCATCTTTGTAATAATTGAGACTGAGACATTTACGCTATCAATACAATACGATTCTCCTATTTGCTGTGCGTAACTGTAACAGTATATTATTATTGGCACAGAAACATTATACGCAATATTTTTTAGAGAAGATATTAATAAACCGTTGGTGGTTTAATTTTGTGATGCATGAGAATTTTTATTTGTTTTTGTAACTTTTAAATTGTGAGGGTTGGCAATAAAACGAATTATAACATGTGCTACTTGCACCTAAGATCCTAATTGTTTATTATTTATTATTTGATGTTGTACTAAGGATGTCTATCCGCGCGTGCAGTGGAAAAGAAAAACATAAAAGAAAAATTCCAGTACATATGATGGCCGGTCTCCAAGCATTAGAACCATTCTTACTTATTTTCCAATTGTTTCTTTCCAACTTTTTGAATTTATAAAAATTAATAATCAAATCACCAATTGAAAAAATTATTCAAATTTTATATTTATATTTATATTTATATTTTATTTATATTATTATTATTATTATTAGTATTAGTATTAGTAGTAGTTAAGAGCATCAGACATTCAATGCTTTGTTGATAATATTCTAGATGTGATGTTAATTTAAATATATATTAACAAAAAAAGTGTGCTTGCATTTGTTCATACATCAAACCTTATCTTCAATATTATAAGGACACATGTGGTCAATAAATTTGGTTAATATGGGACCTATTTTGAAAATTCTTTATTGGATGGCTCTACAAACCTTTATTCACGGCACATCAATTCACCTATACATATCATAAAATGCCATTCACTAACTTTATTTTGCATGAATCTCAAACTTGTTCAATTAATTATATCAAATAATATAATCACAATGCGTCCACGCTTGAGGGAGTGAGTGAGAGTGAGACACACACGCTAATTCACAATTGATTAATGTTTTAACTTAACATTCATTGTAGTGTTAGTTGGAGATAATTCAAGCTAAGTGAGCTGAAATCGGGGTAACGTAAATTAGTTTTATTTTCAGTTTCTGTCGTTTGTGTCAATATTTTAATGCAAAAGAGAAGTTTTTCTTTCTTCTTCTATACGTGTTATTTACTTTCAATGGATGAATTAGGATGATTCAAAATTTAATACATTTGGTGCAATTCCACGCCCGTCATATTATGAGGAAAAGTCTTAAATACGCTAGTTACACGAAAATTTTCCAAGTCAAGTGAAAAATTAGAAGCTATCTATTGGCATCTACATTAAAATGATTTCCAAATTGTAAAATTTATCCACAATATGTGGACAGAAAAAGTTTGTAAAATGGTTTGTTTTATATTTGTCCATATTATAGCGAAGACTTTGAAGTCAAGCAAGAAAGGACCACCAAATTTCGTTAATTTTTTCATTTTAGAGTCATTTATATGATAGTGTGAATTGACGGTTCTTCAGCAAAGAAAAAAGAATTTTGTCTTCAAATATTTAGTTATATTTAGTTATATAAATACATCCATACTTGCTTTTCTTTGTTCTTCAAACACATAAAGTGTATGGTTTAAAAATAAAAGAGAAGTTTCTATAATGATTAATTCCAGTGAATTTGAAGAAATGTTAATATATTTTAATCTCTATGGCGTGTTATTTACTTTTAATATATGATTGAGATTCTTTTGATTCATTTTCAAGACCATCGTGATATAAGGAATAATCTTCTTTTAAACATGAATTATGTACACAAAATATTTTCTAAGTCAACTGAAAAAGAAATTAAAGTAATCCAATTTTGTTAGTATCTGCCCATATTGGGGGATATGAGCTAAGTCCAATTATTGAACATGAGAAGGTCTTGATATTTAAATTAATATATTTATGAATATTTCTGCACTTTAACCCAAATGTTAATTTTTCTCTCTCCAATAAAAGTATTATTTGGGGAAAGATTATATTTATGCAATAACGATACTTTATTTCACTATATAGGATTGGCAACATGAATTGCATGATATCATTGTACCATATTAATAACCAAATATTTGAGTATCTTATTAATCAAAAGATGTCATTGAAAAACTTAATCAATTGTTCTTTTTGGTCTTCATCGGTCTTCCTTCAAAGGACTCAAGACTATAATTTGTACATGTCAAAAATCCTTTAAATAATTTTCTACTATTCTCTCCTCAATTGATTTATAACTGGGAGAAGATTTATAATTAGGTTTAATAAAGTTG